GCGGCAACGATTGTTGTATGTGATTTCAATAGAAGCCGCCGGCGCTTGATCATCACCATGCACTTCCGAAAAACGGCAAATTTCTTTGAGAAGTCAGTACAAAAACTTTGATGCCGCATTATCAAAGTGCCGATGGTTAAAACAAAACTATGCATGCACTCTGTTTGATTTTAATGGATATTTTTTATTCGCTATGTATGTTTATGGTATTGGTCGTAATGCGCATAGGTCCAGTTTTTCATATTCTTTGATACAGTTTTTTGCGTCTCATAGAATTTCTAAGTGTACCTATACACCGAACTGTTATACCTAACTACTCCATGAAATAGCGCTAAGTCCTAGCTGCAAGACGCAAGAGTCTTGCCGGATTAATCTTGTTCTTGCTCAAGTCTTGCACGGTCAGTCTTGGTCTTGGTCTTGCTATAAATACGCGGTCTTGTTGTTGGTCTTGGTCTTGCAAAAATGCAAGCATTCATGATTATTGGTCTTTAGGCCAAACATGTATGGAAGCTGAGCAATCTCCTTTGTCTTCTGTTCGTGTTTGAGGAGTTCCTTTTTGACTTATATGATTTTCTCATAGATGCCATTGTCAGAACTAGACCAAATTTAAATGGGACCACAGGGGCAGTATCAGCTTTCTAATAAAAAAAAGAATCATCAAAATTGGTGCACCCAGTCAAAAGTTTTGAGGTATTAACAAACATATAAAATATAATACAGTCGAATTGAGAACCTCCCCATACTTTTTTAATCGGTAAAATAATCAATAAAATGTACAATACCCACTAATTGCTTTATTTTATCCGAGTTTTCAATCACGCTATCTTTGCTCAGTATAGTGAAGATTTGTTGGCGATCCTTGCAGTCGTTGAGAACCATATTGAGATTACCCGTCAAATCCAGAAAACAATATAAAGTTTCCAGGCATTTTTTTTATTATTGCTTCGAAGATGTAGTTTAAAGCACTACCTATTCGCAGGCGAAAGAAAGTGCTATCACGGTAATAATATTTAATATTACCGTGGTGCTATACTCCCATCTCAGTCCCAGTAGCATGAGCACCACAATTTAAATTATATCACATCTTTTACCGCGTCTAACTATTAAACTCCATATATTAAAGACCTTGATAAAAACTAGTTATAGATCATATGGCGATGCTCATGCTAGGGGGCAAGGTATAATATTAAGGGCCTCGTTAGAAATTGGCCACTTTCTCCCCTCGCTCGGTAAACAATGTACTATTGTTTTATACAGTACATGGTAGGTATGTTATTCTTCTGTTTTCTTATTCGCTGGCGCAAAGTTGAAAGTTTTTCTATCGTTACCAGTCCTACTTAGAATCCTACTAATATTTTAAAAGTGAAAAATTGTAGGTTTGTTAGTCAATCACGAAAAAACTACTCAACGGATTTAGATGAAATTTAGTCAGTAATACAATTACAGATTATCGTTTTTCAAAATCTTTAACAACTTGCAGTCTTAAGATTTTACTAGTTTAAAGGGTATATAATATGAAAGCATCGTTTTTCAAAATTATATTTACACATATAAATCTTTTTATATTGATGACGTTGACACGAGTAACTATGAGATCGCGGACACCGGATGAGGTCGTATGAATAACTGCCACGCCGCGCCTGCGCTCGGCTCGCTTCGCTTCCGGTTTCGATGTAACTGCATTTGCGCACTATGCTATAAATTTTGAGCGTGTACTAAATTATAACGGTACGGCGCGGCGTAGAGCTACAACACTGCATCCCCTATCCTTTGTTTTAATTCGAAAGAGATTTAACTTTACAAAGTAGGTAGCGGTTTCGGAGCAATTGTTTTGATTAACCTTGTTTTCGGAACTTTTTAGCTCCATATCAAAGTGCTACAACAAAAGAATTTTAATCCCCTTATTTGTTATTCAATATTAAACTTTTAAATTTGTGATACTGATAAAGAATCAGAATACCAATACTTCTACATACAATACCTTACCCAAATTTATATTAAAACATTATTCAAGTATTAATTACCTGCCCTAATATAAACATACCCGATGTTCATGCCCATTAATTAGAGGTGGAAAAAACGGCTTATTTCTTAAAAGCGTTTAAACGTTGTACTTTTTAAAATAAGCGCACTTGAAAAAAAGCTTTTTCGTTTAAAAGCTTATTGGCTTAAACGTTTAAAGCATGCGTAAAAAGCGCGACGTTGTGTTGTGTTTTCGTTTTGGTATATCGTTTGAAAAGCGTGAAAAGTTTATTGTCGTTTTTAATGTGTTTAAGTGTTTTATTGCATTTTTTCTTCTTATTAATGAAATTTTTATTAAAAAGTTTTTTAAACCTGAATTGATTGGCATTAAAAACTGAATTGATTGGCATTAAAAACGAAAGATTTTCAATTGAATTTAGATTTTATAATAAACATTTACAGTACTTTACAAGCTTAGGACTGTGTGGAGTTAATATACTCGTGATCCAGGCGTATTTAAAAGTTCATTGATTTTATATACATACTTTTAACTATTTTATATGCACATTAAACCAATACACGAAACGCATTAACACAAGCAAGCATGCAAACACACCGTACAACACCCACGCGCTCTTACCCCGTCACAATGACAAGCGTACTGCTTTTCGACTTCGTTTAATTAAACGCTTTTAACGAAAAAAGCGTTGGTTATCCGACCAAATTTTAAAAAAGTGCATTTTTTTACGTCGCATTATAATAATTCGCATGCTGTATTAACCGGCTCACTAAAGATGGCACGGCGACGCGGCGCTGTAGCCGCGCGTTCTATGTCTGTGATATTGTGAAATATTTATTTCCAAGGAATTCCGCGTACTCATTTTTCGATACTGTAGTGGACTAGAAGGATCGAAGTATGTAGTTTCCTGGCAAAGACATAGATGGCGGGATTTGCACTTTTTAAGTAAAAAATATACTTGTACTTTTTTAAGTGAAAAGCTTACTCACACTTTTTAAGTGAAAAGCTTATAACGCTTATACTTAAAAGCGTGCTTACAAGCTTAATATTTTAAGCGCGCTTATTTAAGCGCTTTTCGTTTATTTAAACGCCCACCGCTACCATTAATACACTGAACCGTATTGTTCTTCTATCAACGATGTATTGTTACGGATTTTGCAACCACTTACTAAGTACTTCTCTAGTTAGCAATGAACTTAAGTTCCGATAATTTACCTACCTAAGCATACATTTTAAAAGTGAACGCTAATGTTATGATTTTCAACATTTTTATTATTTTAGTAACATAATTTGCGACTATGTGACGTATATGACTATGACCTTTGTGAACCTTCAGAAAACCTCGCAAACCCGCAAACCATAATCGTTTCTTCTGATCCTTTTTAAATTAATATTTATTAATTGAAAAAAAAGAAGTTACCCGGATTTAATAATCTAATAAAATTCAGATCGTATTAATAATAACAATGAGATTGGATGTCATGTTTCGCTCCCACCATTATTGGTGTCTACTTACAGAGCGGTGTAGTGTCAACAACAAAACACTTCTTTCGAACAAAGGTGCTTAAAGAGCTGTTTAAATAATAGCTCCCCATTTTAGCTGATTGCAAGCAACCTTACCCTCTGTAATTAGAGCAAGTACCGTGCTTAGGACACTGTACACGTTTTCAATTACATTATTTTGTTTTGAAGTCGGATTGCGATAGGTAAGGCAACTCTCCCGAAGGCTTTTCACTACTTAATGTAAAGAATGCGTCTATAACCTTTTTCCTGAACTTTGAATAAGGATCACTTAACTACACAGGTACTCGGGAACACCTGCGTATTCTCCTATAGCCTGCTACGATGATGGCGCGATTACAATCGGTCGTTAGCCCGAATACGAGTGCCAATGGAATTCGGGTAAACGACTAAATGCAAACACTACGTATAGTTGCTGCTTGCATTTTTGTAATCACTAGCCGCAAACCATATTTTTTTTCGGGATAAAAAATATCCTATGTCTCAATCCAGGTCATAAACTATATACGTATCAAATTTCTTTCAAATCTGTTTAGCCGTTTTAAGGTGGTTAGGTAACAAACATATACAAACTTTCATATTTATAATATTAGTAGGATAAATAATATTACCATACGTTAGGTTTTTGCCGCCATATATCAAATAATATCTTCATCATAAATATCTTAAAAATCAAGGGTCAAGAGGGCCAGGGGAAGGGGGAGGGGGGTAGAAGGAACCCCTCGACCTCACCTCACATACACTACGGAACGTTGAACCAGGGTTGGATTTTGTACTATAATTATAGTATTTATACTATAATTTCGCCCTTTGTACTATATACTATCCACATCTCAGTATAGTACGCTTAAATACTATAATTTAAAGTTTTCTCCCGAATGCTTAGGTTTATGTCATCTTTTCGACCAAATATTTCGACCAAGCTTCTTGCGATGTTTGCTGTGCTGTGTTTTCAGTGTTTTTATTATGGAAAGTGGCATCAAAAGCGGTAGCAAAAGTGGAAATTGTACTGATTTCATTCCTACTGAGGATAATATATTGATGAGATGAAATGCCAAGGATGAAGATAGAACTAATAGTAATATTCAAGACCTCATAAACTTATAAGAGGAGCAAATTTTGCCTTAGCGGGTATCGATTTTATTTACTATTATATGTTAAATAAAAAATAATGAAAGTGTACTATATTATTTTTATAATTTATTATACTATCCTTTTATTTTTTTTGTGCTGTCTTTTTCAACATAACTAAATCCAATCCTGCGTTGAACAAACTCGCGACAACGTGACGTCTCACTTTTTCGCCGGCAGCCGGTAACCGATGTACATCAATTTATAAGACGTCAACACGTCGAAAAGACTTGATACTATCACCTAACACTGAAGAAGCACACACTTTTTGTTCGTTGTGCTGGTGTGTAAGACAAGAAACCTGTTATCGCAACGCACCTGATATTATCTATGTTTATCTAGGTTTTTTATGTCTATGAGTGGTATGCACTGTGTTGTCCCTTAGTACGGCACTGAATAATTTCTTTTGTCAGCCGCGAGCACTCGTGTTTCATCCTCCTTATTTAGAGTGAATCATGATTTAGAAAAAAATGCAGTTGTAATGCAATGCAAGCTGTTGTGTTAAACAAGTGAACTGTATCTAATAGAATTTGTTTGTGATTATAAGCTACTTATAAGAATAAATTATATCCGGGTGGAAGATTTGATATCAGACCAACATATTTTTAAAAATATCGATATAATTTGAATGGTAAGGGTGAAAAATAGTTTATTTGTCACCATTATGTAATTTCATTTATTGTGTAAATAAATCAATCATCTTTTTAAATATCGTTGAAATAAATACCGTAATTTCGCAGGACACAGAGTTTTTTTTAAAGGGGCGCGGCCGCACCTCAAATAATAGAAATTAAAGCCATATCACTTTGTTTTCAAGCTGTACGTTTGTGGCGATGCTTTTCTCAGGAAGGCTTAAGAGGTATAAGTAACTTCTTGAGCAAAACCACAGATAACTAAACTTGCGCAGTAAACGTTTTTGTATGTAAAATTGCTTTTGCGCAGGCTTCCTTGTGTATGATCGTTGTTCAAGAAGTTTGCCGTGATGTAGGCATTTCAAGCTGATACGAATATAAATACTAGGACTACAATAAGACAAAGTGATCCTACAAGGGTTCCATTTTTTATTAAGTCGTAGAATTTTATAAATATTCAGCAATCCAAAAAGCAGCAAAGCCTATGACTAACATAGGTATTTTTTGATTCGTCAATTTTCGACTGCACAGCAACAAAGAGCGAAACACATGATATTTCCAGCCTCAATGCAATATTCAGGCATTGATGTCGCCGAGCCCCCGTTAAAGTGGGAACTATCGACGGAAATTCTTCTTATATAATTTTTTTCGCTAAGTGGCCATTGTGCGGCTTGCGCGGATTTTAAAACGAGAAAATAATTCCAAGAAGGAAAGGGATAAGTGTGTAGGTAGGTAGATGAGATGTAACTTATTTTTTTATAGGCTACATGCTACAACACGCTGTTATTCGTTCGATATTTGTTTCTTTCTTGCCTAACTTTCTTAACAAAATTGGATAGCTAAGTAGATTGCCTTGTTTGATCGAGAAATAAAATGTGTCGAGAAGAAGATAGAGTTAGGGAAATTTTAAGCACCTAAATCAGGGTGGTTTTGCGATATGGCTACACTCTTATTTAAACATATTTATAACGTACCTCAATATAACAACTTTCTTGATTTAACAAATTCTTCGTAATCGGCTTGAATTTTCCATAAGAGTCAATGTAAAATACACTTTACAACCTCTTTATAACGAATTTTCAACTATCAAAAAAAGAGTAAATACCTCTAATTAACGAATTTTGTCAACCAAAAACCTCTATATAACATTTCCATCAATATGTGACCCTTAATCCCATAGTACGTGATTCATGTCACGACAGGAAACTATTTTTTTACCTCTTAATAACAAATTTTAGACCTACCTAACCTCAATTTATCAAACCTCAGTTTAAAGAATTCTCGATTATAACGAATATTTACTTGTTCCCTTCCGATTTGTTATATCGAGGTTGCACTGTATATAGCAAATAGATATGTTTGTATATATAAATATTATTAAGGTTACACTGATAATACAAATGTAAGTCTGAGTGTCTGTACATTTAATATATTGGCAAATAATAGTTTGGGGTCTTAAAATAAGCAGTTAAACACATTTCTATATTTTTTTTAACTTTCGTCTGTCTGTCGGTTTGTCTATATACTCGTATTTGTGATTACATCAAACCAAAACTGCTGAATTAAATGCAAATAATTGAAAATATGTATACATACAATTGCAAGCCAAAATATAATGAAATACATAATGTTATTTCATACAAGATTTAATTATCAGTGCTTATAAAATACATCGCGATAGTGTTTACGATTGTTTTATGTGGCTTCAAAAAATGAGATAAAGTGTTTAAATAAATAATAATATTCTTTGTTGTTATACACCATACAAGACACACAAGTAAATTAAAAACATGAAAGGCAGAACGTACACAATATAGGCGGCCTTATTGCTAGCCATAAAAGAAGAAGAGGGGGGTAATAGAAAATAATAATAATATCAAAGGAAGGAAAACAGATATATCTATACTGTGAAGTAGAAGAGAGTAACGAGAAGCATTCTTTTAAGTAATGAGGAGAAGTGGGTAAGAAAAGTACGGAGTAAAGAATCGTAAGAGTGTGTAAGTCCCTGCGGCGGCGAATAGGGAGCCAGTTAAGTTTAGAACAGAAGTGTGAGACGTGGTCATATTTACGAAGGTTGAAAATAAATCGGATACGTAGGTTCTGCAGACGCTCTAGCTTATCCAAGAGTTCTCCAGAGAGATCTGTGTATCAGGCATCAGCGTAGTCAATGATAGACACCTGCGCCAGAGTGATTTTGGTGGTGGTTGGCAAAAAGTTACGTAATCGGTTGAGCGAGTTGTATGCAGCAAAAATTTTCTTTCTGACCGCCTCCACCTGAGGTCTCCAAGAAAAACACTGATCAAAGACAACACCAAGGTTTTTGACAGTGCTTGATCAAGGAATAATAGTTCCATCAAAAGTAATAGGAGATAGATGTTCAAAATCAATCCTGGAAACGAAGTAAGAGCTGCCAATTATTATAGTTTGTGTCTTAGTGGGGTTCACAGTAAGACCGAAAGACTTACTCCAACTACTAATTAAGGCGAGATCGGAATTGGTAGCGGTTATTGCATTTGAAGGGTCAGATAGTGATGCCTGTGTGTAAATCTGCAGGTCATCGGTATAAAGGTGGTAGGAACTGAAAAGTGACTGTGTGATAGAATTTATAAAAATTGAGAAGAGAAGAGGAGAGAAGACGCCACCCTGAGGAACACCAGCATTGGTGGCGCACGACGTAGAGAAGTTATCTTCAATGCGTATACACTACCGGCGTCCTAGCAGGTAACTTTGATACCAATCAATTGCCGCTGGAGATATATTAAGAGAACGCAGAATGGCAATAAGGATGTCAAAGTCAACCGAATTGAAGGCGTAACTGAAGTCGAGCAACGTCAACAAAGTGAGTTGTCGATTCTCCATACCATGTTCGATATCATCTGAAATCTTAACCAATGCAGTAGTCATGCTATGGCCCGTACGAAAACCAGATTGAAATGAATTTAAGAGCTGGTTTTTGTTAAGAAAAACTGCAAGCTGTTGATAAACAAGTTTTTCCAGAACTTTGGAGAGAAAGGGAAGAATGGAGATAGGACGATATTCTGAAAAAGAGACAGGATTCGGTTCTTTTGTGATTGGGATAAGATATGCATCTTTCCAGGATGCAGGAAAAACATCGGTTGAAATCGAGGTATTCAGGATGTGAGTAATTACAGGAGTCAGGATGTCAAGGATGGGAAGGATCATTTTTCAGCTAATGGAGTCACTACCTACTGCACTGGAGTGAATCTTTGTATGGTTCTCTTAATATCCCTGTCAGCAAATTGATGTAAGAAAAAAGGAGAATAAAGTTTAACTTTAATAAAAGTACCAATAAAAATACAAAGTTTTTTTAATCCAAGATTGTCGCTGTTAGTTTATTACAATAATATTAAAAATACCATATTTTAAACACAAATAAAATAAGTGTTTAATGTGGTTCAATTTTAAGATATTTTAGTAGGCACTTAATAAAGTGCCTACTAAAATTATAAGCCATATTTGACAAATCACGTACGTAAGTTATGTACATAGCTTACTAAGGAAGTACCTACTAGAAAATAATTCTACGTGGACGAGGCAGCAGACGGGATTCGAATTTAATCGGATTTTTTTCTAGTAAAATTTTCTTTAGATTCCACAAGTATTTAATAGTAATTATATCTGTTACAACAATAAGTTTGATTGAGTAGCAATGAAGGCAGGCTGCAGGACTCTTTTTTGTTGAAGTTTGATATAGGTAATTACAAGAGCAATCTTCTCGGTTCATCGCAGAACCGTTTCAAGACTTTACCTGACAATGCATGTAAATTTCCTTGCACCATCGAGAAACGTCGACCTCAACCAGGTTTGACACGCCGCAGTATAGAGAAGGACTATATATTGTTTTAAACTTTCATGGTCACTAACATTATAGTAATATAAGTTATTTACGGGACTGCTAAAACTTATGCATTGACATTTACTAATACTTATTTTTATATTATTTTCGTTATAATAATTGAAAAGAACATCGCGCACACTCATGAATATCTTTTTCTCGTCAGCATACAGAAGATGGTTTGAGTTCTTGATCTATGTCGTAGATATACGCATTATAAAACAGAGGACCGAGATGCGAGCCCTGTGGAACTCCAGAAGGGATAGTGACAAAGTCAGATCTGTATCCACCAAGAACGACCATCTGAGACCTTTTAGTTAAGTAAGATTGGACCCAGCGTAATAAATCACCATGAATACCGAGGCATTGAAGTTTATGGATGAGGATACCGTGGTCTTTGCGGTCAAACGCTTTTTCAAAGTTCGTGTAAATTACGTCAACCTATCCACCCTTCTCCATTCCATTAAGAACATAATTTGAAAACAGTGTTAAATTCGATACAGTAGAGCGGCATCTCAATACACAGCATCACACCGCCTCCCGTTTGTTTCCCAGTTACCTGCAAGTTGCGATCATGACGAAACACATCGTATAATTCCGTATTCATTACGTCGTCCTGGAGCCATGTCTCAGTGAATGAGAAGATGTCATAGTCATTAGCTAGTGTTTTATTTTGAATAATAACACAGTATGACTGATGATAACATTTATTTTTAAGAAAAACATTGACATTGAACTCCTTATCTTAGATCACTCGCCGGAAGCAAGTTACATTGTCTTTTTTACCGGAAGGGCTGTCAAAACCCAATACAGATTAAGAAACTATTATTTGTTAAAATCAATTCACAACATCTTACCCTTCAAAGAAAAACAAGAAAATTACATATTTTTAAATTAAACAAACATTAGCAATAAGTACCAGCTAATTATATGCATAAGCATAACTTATTCTAGGACATAATCATCAAATCGACTTGGCCGCTTAATATTTCTCTTAGGTCTAGTATAATTCCTGTCAGAAGATATATCAGAAGACAAATTTTCGTTAGAATGAGTAACGGGCATAGTAACATTTTGATCAGACTGATTTACAGGTATACATGCACTAATTCTATCATTAACACATTGAGATATTGGTGTAAA